TTTCAATTATAGAAAGGTAAATAAATCCCAGGATAAAAAAAAAAGAAAAGAAAAAAAGGAGAGGCTGGGAGCTTCTGTCGCCGGGGGGGCTTGGCCAGCCTGAAAACGGCCCTCAGCCCCTCACCCAGGCTGGCCAGGCACCCCAGCAGGACCCTCACCCTGATCCAGGACACCCTTCAGGGCAAACCAGCCAGCCCCCACCCATGCACCAGGCCTCTATCCTATATAATAAAAGGGTAATATGCAAACTGACCCTAACAGCAGAACAACTGGGAATGACTGGTCACTATGACACACACTGACCACCAAGGGGCAGACGCTCAATGCAGGAGCTGCCCCCCTGGTGGTCAGTGTGCTCCCACAGGGGGAGTTCTGCTCAGCCAGGCTGATGGCTGCCAGTACAGCAGTGGTGGTGGGAGCCTCTCCTGCCTCCTCAGCAGCGCTAAGGATGTCTGACTGCAGCTTAGGCCTGCTTCCCGCTGGCAAGTGCCCATCCCCCGAGGGCTGCCAGGCTGCCAGAGGGATGTCTGACTGCCAGCTTGGGCCTGATCCCCCAGGGAGCGGGCCTAAGCCAGCAGGTGGACATCCTCCAAGGGGTCCCAGACTGCAAGAGGGCATAGGCCGGGCTGAGGGACCCCACCGAGTGCACAAATTTTTGTGCACCGGGCCTCTAGTAAAATATTATATTAGTTTCAGGTGTACAATATAGTGATTAGACATTTATATATCTTATGAAGTGATCAACCGATATGTTTAATACCCATCTAACTGTAAGCCTTTATTTTTATCTTGCTGGTATTTATCTAAGCAACATAAAGCAAACTATCTCAACTTGGAGTCAAACATCATTGTAAGTGGGGGAAGATGATGAATGAATTTGAGAGGACAAAAGAGTGAATTGACAGGTCACGTTGAGTTTGTGTTTTTAATTTTCAAAATCTGTTTCAAAATATTTTTTGAATCATGATTCAATAAATTTGAAATTGTTACTTATATTTTATTCTGAAGGGGATCCATCCTCCCTTGCTACCCTTCATCCTCTCTTCTTTTCTCTTCCTTACTTCCTCCTATGCAAATGTTTACTGAGTGAATACCTATTTTTTGCCAGGTACTATATAATAGATGCTGGAAATGCTCAGGTGAAAAAGTTATCCCTGTCCTCAAGGACTTCCCACATTATTTTTGAGGCAGGCAGATATGAAGAGGCAATTACTATATAGTAATAGTTGTTCTATTGGTGCAATAGGCACACACTGGAATAGAGGAGTGACTCTCTCTTGGAGGATCAGGGAAGGTAAAAGAGATGACACCTGCCTGAAGGAATGTTCATGTTTGAGATAAATTTAGTGCATTTGAGGCAAGAAGTATGACCTGACAGGATGACAAAATTGAGGAGCTACCAGTTAATTATAGCTGGAATGGATGTGTCAGTTGAGGTGGATGGAGATGGAATTGGGGGCAAATCAAGCAATGAAGGTCCTTGAGTTTAGATCTTATCCTGGGAATAATGAGGAGGCTACTCAAGGATAGTGAACAAGGGGATGCCACTTTAGAAAACTCACTTTGGCAGGGGACTTGTGGAGGAAAAATAGAAAGCATATGAAATTTGATCCTAGAAAACTTCACAGATGGCTATTACAATCAGGTTGGAAGATGATGAGGATCTGCTTTAGGTCAGTGACAGAAGTCAAGGAGCAGCGAAGTAGTATATGAGAAATATAATAATAAAAATAAGGAAATAAATAAAAGCCAGACTGGCATGGCTCAGTGGTTGGGCATTGACCTATGAATAGGAGGTCGTGGTTCCATTCCATGGTCAGGGCACATACCAGGTTGCAGGCTCGATCTCCAGTGTGGGATGTGCAGGAGGCAGTCAGTCGATGATTCTCTCATCATCAATGTTTCTATCTCTCTCTCCCTTTCCCTTCCTCTCTGAAATCAATAAAAATATATTTTAAATAAATAAATAAATGATGTGCAAAGGGGAAGGAGGTAGTGACTTAGTACTGAAGGGTGAAGTTGAGAATGTTCTATATATCCCACTAAACTTTATTCTCCTTAGAGGGAACTTGAAGCCTTTGATGACAAAGAGGTAATATTTGTGCAATTTTATATTGACTATTGTATTATTAAGTTTCCAAGAATAAGTGTCAACATTTCCACAAAAGTGTTAATTCAGGAAGGAACATGGTCAAGATATTTCTTCTCATTAAGACCTCAAATCTTATCAAAAGGGAAGCAAATTTAAAAAAGATTTTAAAGTTTGTGGCATGTCTATGACATGAAAATGAATTTAAACTTAAAACTCTATAAGGAAATTTTTATTATAGTTTATTGGACATATAATTTATGGAGACTGAAGTGTTCACCCATATTAGTATTCACAAGTTTATTCTAGAGTTTAATCTGAAATGAATTTTCTTTCTTTGGCAGGATGATTCTTTAAAGCAATTGCAGGTGGTTCACCAACCATGGATCTTGCCAAGTGACACAGAAAGTGAAGGAGTGGAAGCAGAACAAGAGAAACGTGAGTAGACTCTACTGTTTATTGACAGATTGCTTTTAGCCAAAGGAAATCTACACCGAAGGTCTATTCCTTTCATAACATCAGATGTTGTCTGCAAAAAAATTCAGACTTGACTAGGAAACCATGCAAAGATAAGCTATATTTCAGGTATATAGATCTTGATTCAATTATGTCATAATTGTGTCACAGAGAACCATAAACTAACTTTCTGAGAACAAGTACAGAACCTTACAAGAAGAAATTGTTCTTCTTGAACACTAACATAAATGTCCATTTAGAATGTGAATCTTCTATCCTGTATAATAAAACCCTAATATGCAAATTGACCAAACGGCGGAACGACCAGTCGCTATGATGTGCACTGGCCACCAGGGGGCAGACACTCAATGCAGGAGCTGCCCCCAGCCCGCAGGCCCCAGGCCAGCCAAGGTGGGTGCCAGTGGGGCCCCCCTGATCACCCTGCCGGTCGCCCCACAGAGGGAGGTGACCGGCAGAAGCAGGGGCAAGGGCGGTGCCAGGCCAGCTAAGGTGGGTGCCAGTGGGGGCTCCCCGATTGCCCTGCCGGTCACCCCATAGATTGTCCCTGATTGCTGGCCAGGCCTAGGGACCCTACTCGTGCACAAATTTTGTGCACCGGGCCTCTAGTAAACATATAATTAGATCAGTGATAACTTGTGATTATTTTTAAAAAATCAAAATATGTTAGGAACAGTTTATTATTGTATATAAAATTATCATTATTAGTTAAATGAGCAAATCTATACATATAAAAACCTAAGTGACCATTACAACCGAACGACTAGAACGACCAGAACGACTGGTCAACTGGTCACTGTGACGCACACTCACCACCAGGGGGCAGACACTCAAAGCAGGAGCTGTCCCCTGGTGGTCACTGCACTCCCACAGCCAAACTTCTGCAGCTGGCCAACCTCCCCCAGTCCCTCCCCATGGCCAGCCAACTTCCCGCGGTCCCTCCCCCGGCCAGTCCCTCCTTCCGGCCAGCCAACTTCCTACAGCCCTTCTCCCTGTCCTTTCCCCCGGCTGGCAGGCCACGATTGGCCCAGCCCTGATCTGCCTGGCCCCGATCCGGTCTGGGTGAGAAGGCTCCGATCGGCCCTGATCACCCACCAGGCCTAGGGACCCCACCTGTGCATGAATTCATGTACTGGGCCTCTAGTATATAGAGAGAGTTGATCCTTAAACAATGCCTAGTGTTGACCATAAGCCTTACCGATAGCATAAACAGTTGATTAACACATTTTGTATGTTATATGATGGTGTTCCAAAAGGTCTCTGAGGAACTGTTCACTTTTCTTCATTTATTTTTAAGAATTTCTCAGAAGTTCCTTAGATTGGATTTCAATGGACCTATCTTAAGTTCTCTGATCCTTTTTTATGCCAACTCAAATATGTTGTTGAGACCCTTTAGTGAATTTTTTCATTTTAATTCCAAAATTTCTATTTTGTTCCCCTTAATAATTTGTATGTTTTAATTGGTAGTCTCATTTGGTGGAAGTTCATTCTCTTGTTTTTAAAAAATTTTATTTGACGTGATTTCTTTTAACTCTTTGACTATACTTATTGTAGTTGATGACAGGTTTTGTGTGGTAAAGTCCATCATCTGAGTTTACTCAGGAGAGTTTCTATTGAATGTTTTTTTTTCCTATTTATGAGCCACACTGTCATGTTTATTAGCATGTTTAATATGATTTATAAAGCATGTCACTTTTTGGTTTGTTTGTTTAAAACTGGACATTTAATATAAGGTGGGAATTCTAGTAATTGGACCATCTTCCTCCCATCCCATTTGTTCTTGCTGCTGTTGGTTCTTGTTATTATTGTTGCTATTTTTTGCTGAGTGACTTTGCTGAACTAGCTCTATAAAGTCTATATTACTTATTGTATGCAGCCACTGAAATCCACACTCAGTAGCTTTGTAGTCAGCACATTCAATCTCCTATGAGTATTCAGAAAATTCTAAGGTTTCACGAGAATTTCAGGGCATCTGAACTGACACCAGGCAATAAATCCTCAAAATTAGGTATATCAACATTTGCATGTGGGGTAACTTATCATCGTAAATATTTAAGGACTTACCTTTAATCAATAAATATAAAAGTAAATTAATAACTAGTGTTAATTATCTGTTGGAAGCAAAACATTCTAATGCCAAAATGCAATTTTTCTTTCTAATACTGGTTTTAGAAGATATTTTTTGGTTATAAATAAATTTTTTGTAATTTCTAGAGGCCAAATGCCTCTGAATTATTCATGTGGCCTTCTTACTTTGAAATGTTTCCCATGTCTGTGGTAAAATTCTGATATTATGAATGGTTCAATTGACTTCTAAGCTACTAGAAAATATTTAAAGGGTAGCATTTAATGACATATCTAACATAATCTCACAAACTAAACTATTATGAAGTATAATGAGAAAATGGGTCAGGTTGCTCAGCAATACATAAAGTTGCATGCTTCAGACTACCTTCTTTGTTTATTAAAATGTCCTTGCCACATGCAATAATAGTCAGAAATTTTTATAACAAGTGTCAGAGAAGCCTGTGTTTAAACAACAAGACAGCCGAACTGTTATTTTGGAGTGCAAAATTCTTTGGATTCGAGCAGTGATTTTCAATTCTTGTGTGCCACAAGAATTTTTATAACATGAAATACCTGACTATTTAGTCAGGGGCACTGACCTCTTTTCCCTTAGATTGTCAAATAAGAAATGACAACAGCCAACACAACAATAGCCGTCTGGTGTGAATGAATCAAAATTATACCTATTTGTTGTGTGTGCAATGAGATGCAAAATATTGAAAATTGCTGGATTAGAGTATGTGTGGAGTTGAATTCTTTAAAATTAAAAATAGGAGATACATGGTCCAATTTTTTGTTATTTTTAAAAATCAAAAGTATGAATGAGTAGCACATGTTTTTAATACTTTCACCAAATACTTTTTGTTTGTCTTGGAATATTCTTATATTTGCTCTAGGTGTGGCTAAATCTAAAAAAATAATAGAATAATGGACACAAAATGAAGGAAAGATCTAGTTTATTCTTTAACTTGGATGGATTTAGCTTATATGGAAGCTTTATATCAGATGGAAAGTATCTTTACAAATGAGAAGAGTGTATTGGCTGGCTGCAAGTCTTTTGCATGTGTTTACAGTTTTCCCAGCACCATTTATTGATGACACTATCCATTCCCCACTGTGTAGTTTTGGTGTCCTGGTGTTAAATTAGTTGACCATATATATTTGGGGTTTATTTCTGGGCTCTCTATTTCTGTTCCACTGGTCCATGTGTGTACTTTTATGCCAGTACTATACTGTTTTAATTACTATAGCTTTGTAATATAATTTGAAATCATGACGTGTATGCCACCAATTCTGTTCTTCGTTCTCAAGACTGATTTGACTACTCAGTGTCTTTTGTAGTAATTTTCTTTTCTTTTCCACCTATTTTATTTAGTTTTTATTAAACTATATATCTGATAAGGGATTAATATCCAAAATATGTAAGAAACTCATACAACTCAATAGTAAAAACAAACACCTGTTTAAAAAATGGGCAAAGACTTCAATAGACATTTTCCAAAAAAGACATACAAATGGCCAACAAGTACAAGAAATGGTACTCAACACCATTAATAATCAGGGAAAAGTGATCAAAACCATAATGAAATATCATCTCACATGTCTTAGAATGTGTATTATAAAAATAATAAAAGATAAGTGTTGGTGAAGATGTGGAAAAAAAGAGAACCCTTGTACATTGTTGGTTAAATGTAAATTGATTTTTAAGCCATTATGAGTAACAGTGTGAATTTTCTGCAAAAACAAATTAGTACTACCATATGATTTAACAATCTCTCCTCTGATATATACCCAAAGAATATGAAATTAGCACCTCACGAGAGAGCTATGCTCCCATTGGAGCAGTATTCACAATAGCCAGGATATGGAAACAACCTAAGTAGCTGTCAATAGATGAATGGACAAAGAAATTGTTATATGTATTACAATGGAATATTATATGCCTTTTTAAAAAAAAGATCTGGTAATTTGCAACAACATGGATGAATTTAGAGAACATTATGCTAACTGAAATAAGCCAGACACAAGAAGAAAAAAATGTGTGATTTCACTTATATGTAGAATCTAAACAAGTCAAATACATAGAAGCAATGAATAGAATGATGGTTACTGGAGCCGGGATATGGGAGAAATGGTTAGATATTTGTCAAGGGCTAAATAGTTGCAGTTATGTAGGATAAATATGTCTAGAGATCTGATGTACAACATGTAATGTATAGTTAATCATACCATATTGAATACTGGAAATTTGCTAAGAGAAAGGTAACAAGAATTACCCATAGTATCACCACTCAAAATATTCTCCATTATTATTTTGGGGTTTGATCACATAGTCTTGTCACCATGCATGCCTGTTTATTTTTTATTCAGTATTGAAATTATATATGAAAAATTAGATCATTTGAGGCCTAAAATGATATTAACTTCTTCCAAGAGAACATTTTTCTTTGTTTCAGTAAGAAGTATTCCTAGATTATTTGAAATTCAATAAAAAATTTGAGACTTTAAGTTGGGCTTTATTCATTAAGCGGGCTGCCGTATTCCCATGCTGCCCTTACTCCTTTCCTGTAGTGTGTCCCTTCGGAGTAGCAGTCCCAAACCTGGGGACTTTATTTGGGTCACCTTCCTCAGTAACACTGGAGCTCCAGTTCTAGGAGGTTTTTGCAGTCTCTCTTTGGGTTGTCAGCTCCTCAGAATTTATTTCAGTAACTGGCAGGTATCTTTAAAGGAAGCATGTCCCCAAATTCCACGTTCAAAATTTCTGTTTATTTTCTTGTTCTCCTGTATATTGGCTATGTAATACTTTATTGCTTTGAAAGGTCTCTGATGCCTTCATGGCTTCTTTTAAATATATTTTTTATGTTTTTAGTGGGATGCTTTATCTCAATAATGTACCC